CAGCCTACCACGAACTCCGGCAAACGCCTAGCATCAGTGCAGCGAAGAAGCATTTTCGTCTGATAACAGCTTCAATTAACAATCTCGCTGTAGCTGGCGACCGCTTCTCGCCATTCGCTGCGTCCCTGCTGCTTATCAGCTGTGTGTATGGGCTATTATTTATGGTTTGGCGTTCAGTTCCTTATTTATAGTAAAAAATCCGAACACTTAGATATTTTTTGAGAAAAATGTGGTGAATGCAACAAATAAACAGAATTTTCTAAACTGAATTTCCAGCTCTAGAAGATTTTTGGAGTTATTTTCTAACCTCAGTCGGAGCTCGGCATACCCGAGTTCATTTTTTCTAAACAAAAAAAAAAATTGTTTTGCAAATTTATCAGCTTAGTAACATAATAGCGAGATTTTAATAAACATATTGTTTTTATCTTTATATATACTTAACCGCTTGTCGAGGCAAATGCTCAGCTTTWTATTTAAAGCATTTAAGCTGTATACACTTTTTAATGCAACGTTATCTGCGCTGTATCAAGTGAATGCAAGTAAATAAATTCATATGTATGTATTTGTACATCTGTATGCCTTAAGTGGGCGCGTTCCTGATAAGCATGCTGCCAGAAACAACATTAAATTAACAATTAGCATGTAAAAGATTGTGCAAACAATATAAAGTACATATGTACACACATATGTATGTACATAATAGCAGTGTAAAGTAAATAAATATTAAATAATAAAATTCGCTATAGTTTCCATTTATTTACAGTAATCATGCGTAGAGACRCATCAAGCAGCTGTTTGACTACCCGACAGCAAATACAAAGCTTTTACAATTTACATACGAACAKATATAAATATATATAGTTTACATATTTGTATTATTTATATATTGAAGCTTGCGATAAGGCATACACTTACACATGTTTTAAATGCTCTATTTTTTATGTTTTGTACTTCCATGACAAGCTTAATGTCATGAAGTAACACCAGAAGAAAACATCGGAGACAGCAGAAAATGTGATCAGCGTGATTTCTCGGTTTTTTGAAATATATCGATGAAATTTAGCACACATGCTTTCCTTTCTAATGTGCTGCTCATTTGGCAGAAATGCCGTTATTGGGCCACTATAGCATATAGCTGTCCTGCAAGTCGAAGAAACAAAATCAGGTTCTTTTATGGGAAACTGTTTTAACTGACAAGATAACTTCCGAAAACTTGGCATCGATTATTATCCAAACATACAATATACAAATTCCGAGTAAATTGCTCAGATCGTACCACTGACATGTATATTGACCAATCAAAGTCAATAAAAAATCTTTTTAAATTATAGTCTGCTATAAAAAATGTACCTGTGACGGGTATTATAGCTTTGATGCGAGCGAGTTTAACTTTTTTCTTGATTTTGTAATATATTTTCACAATTGTTATGGAATCGCTAATGAGCACCTTTTTCTTCGACTTCAAATAAAATATTTTAATTGCATACAAACATACATACTACAATAAGTTACACGACAATGGATTATTCAATGTTCGYTAACTTAGATTACTTAACATGTTCCGATCAAACATTCGAGTTTTCGCTTCGTAAGGTATCACACCTAACAACCAGTGCCAGTGAAGTGTTCCTAGACGAAATGCAAAGTAGGTCAGTGCATGCGTACACAGGTATGCACAAGGTTATTTATCAGGCAGTGTTTGACCTTTTGCAATTTTTTTTGTTTACATTTTTTCGCCATGCTTTTCGGTGCTTTCTGGATAAAAATAGGGATAACTGCCGTCCATACTCACAAACAATTCGCTTTACTCGCTGCTCTCTCTTTATTATTTATTGTTATTTTTGTCGCATGTGACAGTTTACGCTTGAGAGAGATTTGCAAAAAAACAAAAAACAATGCTTTTTAGTGAAAAATTGAGTAAATTTGTTCGATTGGGGGTGCAAAAAATTATTTAAATGTTAATAAACAGAGCAATAAAATTTAAGCTACGCAGYAACAAAGCGTTGGTGATATTTGTCAACAAATGAACAAAAATCAGCGAATATAAAAATATAATATTAAAAAAGTTACAAATAAATTAATACCAAAATACATAACACATGTACATATGTATTTAAGGAAAATATACATGTAAACATGCCCATACACATATTCGGAGAGCGCTTCTCACCACTATCACCGCATGTGTGTATATTATTCAAGACGTTGCGACAGATAAAACGTATGTACATATGTTGTATATTCCACTTATTATTAATGTAGTCGGTAAGAATTTTTTATTTTTTTTTATATTATTTTATTATTTTTTCTGTGTATATTTTTTTACTATCTTTTATTTATGTTTATTCACTTATTCGGCCAGACAGAAAGGCAGGCACTTTTTTCACAAAGTTTGGCTGCCAACAGCGTGGTTCTGTCGTCTTCATAAACATTTGCTAATTTATAGTTGCTTTTTACCATTTAGCCGTAAAAATATATGTACAATTTTGTATATTATTTAATGAAACATAAAATACAATTTTTATTCGGTTATTGCATTACTCATGGCCTTCGTAGATGAATATACRTCTGTATGTACATTCGTACGTCCGAACAGTCGCGAAACAACAAAAACCAATTAGTATAAAATAATKAAATTTTAAATTTGGCTGTACGCACAACACTTAACAAAAACAAATTATGTGTGTTGTATTTGAGTTGGGCATTTATTAACAGATTAATTCGTGTGATTACGCGCTAGCGATTTATTTTTTTGTATACCAAAAACTAGGTCAAGTACAAGGGAGTTCGATGAAGTGTTGATAAGAAGTAAGTTCGAAATATAGAAAAATGGCAACTAATATAACAAATATATGTATGTTAATGGAAAAAAGTAATTAAAAAAGTAAAAAACAMATAATGTTTATATTAAGAGTAATTAACAGGAAATTAACAAAACGAAAAAGAAAAACTGAAAATATGAAAATACGMTCAAATAAAAAATAGCAATGCAACAACTACTAAGTTAATAAAGTCTTGATAAAAACTTTGATATTGGAATTTTATTTGATTAAAATTCTTTTGAAATCGCCAATTTTTATTCTGCCTTGCCATTTATGTAGGATTCCACCCACAAGTCACAAAATGAGTTCACAAATGCATCCAAGGTTCACCAAGTTTTATTAGAAATTTACCAAATGAACACAATAAAATGAAATGGATGATCTTAAAAGAAAATGATGGTCTTAAAATGAATTTACAAAAGTTAAAAAATACTGCAGATACCGAAATTCAGTATCTCGTCTTCGGCTTCTCAAACGCGACTCGACTTTTTAATTTCGTCATGGACACTTTGCTGATGCTGCCCGTAGTTGCCAGATTTCCCGCTTGCACCAAGCCATTATAGGGTTTCCCTGTCCCCACATTTATTCAAAGATATTATGAGCACTCTACTAAGAAAATAATATCAAATGTATATTTACTTTACATTTAATCACTTGCATTGCGTTGTCTTGCTATAAAGATGACCGCTCTAAGCTACTTATCATTAGTCGCCTCTAATGGACAATTGCATAACAGTGTTTCCTCAACTACAAAGTAATTATCTTTACGAGCTAGTAGATTTGATTTTAACTGCACTATATTCTTGCAAATAAATAGTGCATAGGACAGCATAACATACATAACTGCAAGCATACAAACATGTTTGAGTTAAGTGTGCTGATAGTATATACTAATCTTTATGGGAGATTTTAAATTTGTATTTATGTACATATGTATGTATATTGTTGAATTGCCTTTAGGATTTGATAAGAATATATTTTTTGTTGCAAACAGTTTGAAAAAAAAATTAATTCAATGGTTTATAATCAAGTTTCCGTTAAAATATTAAAATTTATATTCACTATGTGTGTATCTATTTATTATATTTTTGATATAATTTATAATCTTATCTTTTAATATTTTGTTTTAAATCATATTATTTTATATCACATGAGTCTTTATTTTATCTCATAGCACTTTTCAAAACAAATTAAATCGCATGTTAGAAACTGTTGAAAATAATATTTTCAGTCATGTAAATGTACTCATAATATGCATATGTATACATCCAGACAACGGCAAACAAATTCGACACACAGCGAGAGATAGAGAGCGGCAGTGTATAGTGTACGAGAGTACAAAAGAAATTATCATAAACAATTTTATGTTGTCTACAGCTTTGACTTACTTACAGGTCGTTCAACTATCACTTTGACAACTGCAGCGGGTATAACTAAATACACAACAACAATAACGCCAAACATTGTTGGAGTCTTTGTAATAGCAATAATAGCTAAAACATTGTCGCAGAAACGCGGGTATTCGCCCACCCATTTCGTTGCTGCTGTTCTATTGAATGCGTACATAACAGTTGCAGTGTTACAGAAACAGCACAACAACAGAGTCAGCTCGTCGACAACGACGTCATATGCTGCATTGGCAGCGAGCGAAAACTTGCTCTTGTACGCATTGACTGTGCTAAATGCAACAGAAAAGATAAAAAGTTAAAACTAAAATTGTTGCACAAATGTGTATTACAACAACTTCAAGAGAGAGCCGAAAMTCAACTCTAAATTACTGAGTATCTGCTGCTATTTATGCAAAGAGCAAAAGTGAACTTTTGAATGCAACAACGTGCATATGTAAAGAGTGAGTGAGTTATCGCTGCAGCAACACTTGCTGTTCTGGCGCAGAAGCTACTATTGTCACTATTACCAGCTACTTTTATTCGTGTATTGTGTTTTTGTAATCAGATGCCGGCTTCTTAGAACGCTTTGTTACAGTATTTGTGATAATTCAGCGAGTGGGTGACCGGCAAGGCAACGTCGTTCACATTGCAACAGCATCAAGTGCATTAGCGAAGACTATGCGAAGTGTGTGTTGCAGCGGTTAAAGAGAATTGACTTTCTATACATACACATATGCTAAGTTTAAAATTAAAAAAAAACCAAAAACAAAAGTTCGAAAGTATAAAAAGCAACTACAAGGTGACCGACATTGGCCATCAACCTGTTGGCGACTGTTTAAAGTTGTGAGAAAAACGTGTGGCAATTCACTTGAGAATAAATTTATTGCAAGAAAATCAACAACAATAACAACATGTGACTGTAAAAAAGCAGAAACAAAGTGCCGAAAATAACTATAAAAGCTACTAAAAACAAAAACAATTAGAATCGTGATTTTATGTGTGATTTTTAATTTAATAATTTCATTTTATATCCGTAAACTAAAGAATATAAAATATAATTTAGTTACTGCTACTGGTGTTGTTACTGGTATAATCTCAATACAACGCTGCATTGTGTGATTTATTATAATTTAGCCGTGAAATTTTTATTGCAAATAAGTGTATACGCTTACATACATATATACAAATTAGTGGCGTTACCCCGGAAATTGTGATTTTTAAATTTTAAATAATTCAATATATACTCGTATATAAAAACGACGACAATACATACATACAACATACATATAAATATGCATGGCATAACGCATTTATATCGGCAGCATGCTGTCGAAAAACAATTGAGCGCAGATAGCGCTTGCAGCACTCATCATAATCACCATAACAACCATTCACCTTTTGCTGCTCGTAACAGTTATCCACGTGACAGCATCAGCTACGATAGCAACGAKGACACAAATCGTTTGCGTAGCGTGGATTCGGGCAGCAGTTCAGGGTCGTCGACCAACTCCAAATCACCGAATTGGTCACAAGGTAAGCTGCACAGTCAAAGCAAAACGGAGAGAAAGTGAAAGCTTCAATTAAAATRATTTTCTTTGCTATTGATGAATTATACATATATATGTATTTTGAAATAATTTAGCATTAAGCATCTTCTACTCTCCCCATGCTTAACACTCGCTTTATTTCAATTATAGAAAAAAAAATCTTTTTAATGCTGAATATCCGTATTCCAGAAAAGGTAATTGATAAGTTGGTGCAGTCATCCAGTCCGCAGCCCGTACCCGAGGGCAGCAAATCGCTCAACAATCACTAYCGCAACTCGCCATCGAATGCCAGCAACATGACACGCAGTTCCTATGATAGCTACAGCAACAGCTTCAAGCGTACCTGTTCGAAACGTAACTATTTCGATCGATCTCACAGTCCTGCCGTATATGCTGTAAGCAAACCCCATATTTATGTTCAACCCAAAACCCATACTAAATTTTAAACCAATTTATAGAGCCTACGCCGTTACCCYAATGATTATTGTGGTTCACCGCCAGTGCATAGCACACAGGGTGGCTACTTCCCTCATGATCTCGATGATATCTACGAATCGCAGGCCGATCACCAGTACTTCACGTATACGGGTGCCAGTAGTGCACGCACACCGGAACGTCCGAGTATAAATTCAATATTTCACCGAGTGGGCGCCGCCTGTACATCGCTGGACGATTATGTCGGWCAGACGCGAGTCTCAGCCGAAAATGGCAGTGCTTCGTCATATAAACATCGTTTCGATAATAGCAGTTTTGCGAAGAGTTTGAGCACGAATGAGGATAGTGATAACTCATTGCCGCGCGAACACAAAAAATCCAAGGACCATCATCACTCCATACATGAGATGTTGAAGCAATTCTCAAAGAAAGTACATATTTGGCCACGCAAATCGCATGACACGAACAGTGTTTGCACTTCGCCATTGAACGATCCGCAAGAGAACTTTCGTACACGTTCCAAGAGTTTGGATGTGAATACGCTGAGTCGGCCCAATCGCATATTGGAAGACTGTGGTGCGACATATAAAATCTATGAGAAGATTGTTAAAGAAGGTAAATGTGAGGTGTGGAGTCATGATGTGTACTGATTTAAGGCGTTAAGGGCTAAGTACGAGATATGACGTAAGCTTAGTCAACAATTTATATTATCWCTGGTATTTGGCAAAAGTTTTATAATGCAAGACAAACGAGTACATATTTCTATATCTTACGCGCTAGCATACACAATTTATTTTACGATTTTACTTTACTTCGATTTTACACCATGCCGTTACTTGTTGTAATTTTTCTGAACATACAACCTTTTTTTAGTAATTTAATGCAATTTCCATAAGCAAAAAAAACTAATTTATCTCTCATATCTTCTTGGAATTAGGTGCTCATATGCGTCGTGCCTCAGCCGATTTGGAGAAACGGCGTGCCTCTTTGGGTGCAGCTAGTCGAGGCTTACGTGGTGATGGCACATTAGATCCTCATCACGCCGCCATTTTATTCCGTGATTCCAGAGGGGTAAGCAAAAAAATGTATTATTTACACACACTAGTTTTTCCGGTGAATTTGGCAGGTTTAATTCTCAATTAAATAACAGTGATATGCAAACTGTTAGGCGCAAACAAAAATTGCGTTATATACAAACGTATGAYTGATGAGAACGTCTACCAAGTTAAAAATGTAATCGCGCTGTCTGCCAAACGCTCAAATCGCAACATCCCCTAAATTCCCGGCTTTTGCTGAAATGTACRTTACCCCAAGTATTAGCGCAGACTCAAGGTCAATTTGGTCTTGCAATCGGTAGAAGAATGTAAAACTAGGCAAATAATTTTACAAAATGCACAATATGGCCGAAAGGCAGGCAGCATGSCGCGTCTATAATCCCACTATGCTGTTATGTTTATTTTCTCCTACAACAATCTCACTTGTTTGCTCTCATTATTTTACTTTTCGATTTTCTCTTTTTATTCTATACATTTGCAGAGAGAAAATTCTATTTGTTTGCTTATAATTTTTTGCTATACGTCATTGGAAAGCTTTCAATCGTAAAAAGCTAACGAACGTCATTCGCCTTGAATTTTTGCTCAACTTTATGAGCTTAAACTTTGCACAGGGTGACAATAAGTCCCGTAATGTATTTAGTTATTACTTTTATATCATTGCCGCCAATATTCTGCCTAACGTTATTTTTAATATATTCAGTTCAATTTTATTGGTAATTTTTTTTACAAAAAATAATTGAATGCGTTATTTCAAGGAAAATAATTACAAAACTMGAAAAAACACGAAAGCTCATTAAAAAAATGTAATAAACCGAATAAACAAGTGGAAATTTTGCAACTATATTTTCTTACTTTTGAAGTAGTTGACCGATAGTAATGATTATATTGRTCAAGATAAAAGCAAAGTTTGTTGAGTACGTGATATAAACCATAAAATTTCACAAATTGCTGCAAGTCATTATATTTATTGCGCTCGTGACTCATCAGATGAGCCCCATAAATATTGCTATATTGCCCGCTGGCATCTCAATTTTAATTGCCTTTACTTTTAATGGGGTTTACCTCGGTTTACTAAGGCTCAATATATCCTTTTCTGACTGTCAGTAAGCAAAGAACTTGTCTTCAAAATTTTTAAATCGTTTGTACGCGACTTCTCCAAAACCRCCACTTTTGAATACTGAAATTGACTTTATTAATTAAATTATTTCTTTACTCTTATCACACTTGTGGCACAAAACCAAACAGTTAACATCATTAAAAACAACAAAAGTATTTTTGTTTAGCAACATTAAGCAATTAGTGACCAAAWTAAAAGTGTGTTGATTGTAGATAAATTTTATGTTGCCGCTGAATTGGTGGAAAAATAGCTTTAAGTATAAAATTCAATTAAGCACCATGTTTGCTAATGTACAATGCATAATAAAAATAAAAATATTTAAATTACGACATAACAAATAATAATATTTAAGTAACGTTATARCAGCTTTAATAACAAATATTGAAAAYAATAATAAAYACATAAAACTTAAGAGTAATTTGGGAAATAAAAATGTGGAATTAYTACACTAGTCAACATTGTGTGAAAATTAGGTAATTTTATAAAAAATATGGCATTAAAATATATATACATTTTAATAACTGAGGTCACGGAAAAAAAAAATAAAAATCTGGTTGTATAGGAAATTCTCATTACCGGACACCCATCATCTCAGTGTTTTGCGCCGGCTAAGGGGGCTATCCATATGTGGTTTACATTGTATTCTAAGATAGTGGAGCTGCAACTCAGAACTATATTTCTAATGAAGTAATAAATGCGAAGAATGACAGCCAGGAGGGAATGAAAATTATTCCATTAGCTTCTGGTAAGCCAACGGCTATCAGACGCACCAGCACAAGACAATTTGTTTGCTGTGATCATTTTACGTATTTTTCTTAAAAAAAAAAACTGTGAGAACTATAAATTGTACACAAGCTCCTTGACAAATATTATGAAATCTTGTCCGTTTTCAGGAGTAATTTGACGGAAATATTACCAAATAGTATTCGTGTCCAGTAAATGGAACGTACGCGTGTCTGGTTAAAGGAATTGCTTTTGAAAATAATAATGAAACCGTTGTGTTTATGAAAYGTCTCCATTAATGGCAGATATCCGGCTATGAGGACTGTCCGTAATGGAGAATTTCGGTACTAGTTTCAGTAATGCCGATTTAAAAAAAAATAGTTTTCACATTTCTCATCTCAAATATTGGCTGGAAAAATAACAAAAAATGTTAATAAAATAAATGGCTTTGAATTTATATTTTTCGCACTTGTGTATTTCGTGTTGAAACAGAGCTCGCGCCGAACCAACATCTTCAATACTAAGGAGTAGTGGTGGGCTAACTTACACATTCTAATGATTTTTCATCAATTTTTTACACAGATTTTGTTTTAAGAAAATAAATTTTGATTAGATTTAGCAAACTTGGCATTTCAAAATTAAATTTCAATTTTTATTTA